TGAATGATATTATCTCTTTGAGAAACATTCCTTTGTTCTTTACCCAACTTATATGAACATTATGTTTTATTTCAGGGGTGTGACGTAACTTTTCAGCAAGGAAAAAACTCTTCCTGCACTCTTTAACGAGACAAACTGGACCGCATGAAAACACAGTGTACTGACTAACTCCTTCCAGGGTTAAAGAATAATAAAACTGTATTACATGTGTAGTTAAATATTTACTAATAGCTGACAATGACACATGTTGGAGGATTTATTTTTATAACCATTCCTATAGAAGCAATGAAACACAATGAAAACAGCTGAATACACATAAAACTTTATTATTGGCGAGGTATGCATAAAATGCTTAAAAGTAAAAGTATCATCAGTGTTATATGGATCAATATTACTGCTGCAGATGGTTAAGACTGAGGTTTACTTTAAACAAATGATTATAACATGGTTTTGAGGACCAAAAAGTGGTTTCTAATCATTGTACAAACACAATTTCAAATAACTTAAATTAAACAGTATAGTGAATATATATTTTTTAAAAATCAGGTGAATTAACAGGCTTGTGTGTAATGTGCTGGGTGGTTACTTTTAATATCTACAGCAGTATAAAAAAATAATAAAAAATGTAGGTATGAAGGTGTGTCGACGAAACAGCAGATTAAACATTTATTATAGATGTTAATTGTCTTGGTTGAAACTGGACATGATGTCAGTTCCTCCTCTCTGCTTTCATTGCTAATATGCTAACACAACATGCTGTGATTTTCTGTGTGAATAACACACACGAGACCCTAAAACAAAAACTGTAATCACCCTTTTTATATAGCTTTTTTAATGTTGGATACAGTCTCTTCTCCCTTAATCCATATTTTGGTTCTTAATATAAAACACAGAGGTGACTCACTGCAATATTATTATTGTTTTTTCATCTTTCTACATTAAGTGCTTGATAAAAATTATAAAAGCAAATTATTTCTGCTGCAGTAATTAACCTGTAGTGAGTCAGAGAGGTTTAAAACTTATTGTTTAGAACAAATAAAATTATATTTCTCATGTTCTCTTTGACTGACCCACTGATACCGTCCTCCTCTTTCCATAGCTGCACACCTACCACACTCCTCAATCTTTCCATTATCAGCCCAGTTCTCGTAGCAGACTAGTTTGTCACTGATCCAGAACCACAGATCCATCACGCAGCTGTAGCGCAGTCCCACCCATACGTAGGGACTGCTGGCATTCTTGGCTCTCCTCTCCACCCATCTCTGTTGGTGAGGGTTAGTGATGGAGACCAGGTCAGTGTGGTGCAGTCTGCAGTAATCCAAGGCTTCCTTCCAGGTCTTGTTTTCATTGATCAGAATCAATTTATCTGTCAGAAACCATCAAACTTCAGTTAAGTCTGGTTAACAGCAGCTTATGTTCCACTTTACCTTGAATACAGACAGTACACAATAAAACATTGTAGTTTTTCACTTCCTTTAGCTGTATACTTAATTATTTTAAGTGTGTACAGTGCATTTGGAAAGTATTCACAGTTCCACATTTTGTCCTGTTACACTCTTATTCCAAAATAGATTAAATTTCTTGTTCACTTCAAAGTTCTGCACACGATACCCCAAAATGAAAAAGTGGGGAAAAGATTGTTGAAATTTCTGCAAATCAAAAACAAAAATATGGCATATACAGTATGTAAGTATTTACACTTTGTTGAAG